ATGCAAAAGGAAAAGTACATGACAATCTCTCTCATGACATAAAAGCAAAAATCCTAAATAAAATACTAGCAAATCAAAATCAAGTAGAATTTATTCTAGGAATATAAGAATGGTTTAATATTGAAAAGTCAATCAGTACAACTCTCCAAATTTCTAGAATAAAGAAAAATTAAATGATCATCTCAACAGATATGGAAGAAGTATTTGCTAAAATTCAATACCTATTTTATGATTTTTTAAAAATACTCTTAGCAAAGTAATAATGGAAGGATACTTTCTTAATCTGAAATAGACATCTATGAAATATCTCTAGACACAAACATTCTTAGTGGTGAAATACACAATACTTTGAAATGCTCTTCTCCCTGAAATTGGAAACAAGAAAAAAGATATTCTCTCTATCTGTATTCAACATTGTACTGGAGGCCCTTGCTAGTGCAAGAAGAGAAGGAAATAAATAAAAGACATAAGATTAGAGCCGGGCATGGTGGTGCACACCTGTAATCCTAGCAGTTGAGGATGGCTGAGGCAGGAAGATGTCGAGTTCAAAGCCAGCCTCAGCAATGATGAGGCACTAAGCAACTCAGTAAGACCCTGTCTCTAAATAAAATACAAAATAGGTCTGGGCATGTTGCTCAGTGGTTGAGTGACCCTGAGTTCAATCCCTGGTACCAAAAAAAAAAAAAAGACATAAGATTGGAAAGGAGAAGTAAGCATGTTTTATATGTTTTATGACTTTAGATGACATGACTTTATGTGGATTATACAAAATCCACAAAAAAATACAAACTGCTAAAAATAATCGAACTTAGCAAGATCTCTGAATTTAATGTCAATACATAAAAATGTATTGTTTCCATATACCGTCAATAAACAATTAGGAAATTAAATTTCATAAAAATACCATTTACAACAGCTGTTCCCCTGCAAAAAAAAATTCTAGAAATATATGTGATGAAACTGTATAATGCCTCTACCCTGAAAGGTATAAAACACAATTGAGGAAAAATAAAATAATATTTAAAATGAAGAGAGATGCTATGGATTGAAAGACTCAACATTATAAAGATGTTGATTCTCCCAAAACTGATCTATAAATTTTGTGCAATCCTATCAAACCCACCAGATTTTTTTTCTTGGTAGAATCAATAAGGTGGTTCTCAATTTTGTAGCAAAATGTACCTAAAATAGCCAAATAATCTTGAAAAGTATGCTACTGAGGTAAGCATAGTCACATGGACCAATGGAACGAGAAATAGAACAGGGACTTTAGAAGCCGACTTGCACACATATCAAAAGATGCTTAACATTAGTCAAAAGGGAAAATCCAAGCAAAATCATAGAGCAATATGACTATACTACCAAGAGAATGGATAAAGACTGAAGTAGCACCCCCTTTCTCCACAGAAAAGTCTTAACTGGGCTTCTCCAGAAATCTTCACCATGGTGGATTTTAGGACTATCAGCAAAAGAATCTCTGCAAAAGAGTTCAATGCAGATAAACTTCCTGTTTTCATGTTGCCCTATCTTACTTGGCCACTGGCCAGGAAGATACCAGCACTCCAGGTGCTGGACACCCCCTTACAAGTTTTTCACAAACATATCCAGTATAGTAGTTTGTAGAAATGTGCAAACGAGGCCTCTGGCCTTGAGCTGGGCTTCACAGAGATGTCTACATTTTTAAGATAAGTTACCAATTGGGCTCCATGGTAACAGCTGGCAGGGATAGGAAAGAAAGAAGAGAAGAAGCTCTCCTCTTCTCAGGTGTTGTCCTTGAAGGGTTAACTTGCACAAAATAGTGACAGAAAAAGCTGCTTTTATGTGAACTTCTACAGACTGTGAACTACTGAGCTCCTCCCCATACACGCTGAATATAAAACTCTGAAACTACCTGAACTGGAGTTTCTGGGGATTAATTGATTAAGCAAAAGCTGTGCCCTCTGAACCTGGCTGCAGCCAAACAAAATTGTTTCCTGCTATCTTCGGTGCCTTGCCTCATTTGTCCCTACAACAAGACTAACAATACTATGCGCTGGTAAAACTTTGGAACAGCAGAACAACTTTGAAAAGTGTTTGAGGGATCCAAACATTTGTTAAAGAATGTAGGAGGGGTCCATGGTGATGGATACAGGGACTACTGCAATGGAGTATTTTGGTGGGGAAGAGAGATTGGACTTAACTCCCACTCCAATAAGAACTAGTGGGGGTTTGTAACCAAGGAGCAGGGTAAGGTCAGGGTATGGAAAATTGCTAGGAGAAAGTATCACGGATAACAAGTTTGCAGCTAAACTAGCTTGATAGTATTGCTGAAAGCTGGTCATGATGATAAGGTGTTGAGGGTGGTCAGATACCAAGCACAGGAATTTTTCCTAAACTGACTTAATTGGATTTTGCTCAAATTGGATTCCATAAGGTCACAGAGGAAAGAGCAAGCCAAACCTAATCAGAAAAGACTCAGGATCCTGAGAAAAGTGTTGGTCAAAGGAGAAAGTCTTTCTCACTAGATACATGGATACCCTGTGACCAGCAATTCTACTCTTGGCATATACCCAACTGAAATCAATACTTACAACCATGGCAATTTTATTTTTAATAGCTGCAGACTGGAAATAATCCACATGCTCATCAACAACAGATGGTGTCAATTGTGGTCTATTTTTACAATGGAGTACAATGGAAAAAGAAGACTTTACTGCCCTATGTAACATTATGGATGAATTTCATTCAAAATTTATATTTTTATATAAAATGTTATGTCATATAAAAATGTTATGTCATAAGAGCCAGACACAAAAATATAAAAATGTTATGTCATAAGAGCCAGACACAAAAATATAAAAATGTTATGTCATAAGAGCCAGACCAAAAGTTCATACTGTAAGTTCATATTTAAATAAAGTTCAAAAATTGGCAAAATTAATCTCTAATTAATTTTGAGAGAGTAGAGATCAGAGTAGTGATATAGATATCTCACTTGTCACTCGTGTGTGTGTGTGTGTGTGTGTGTGTGTGTGTATCACTTGAGGAAACACAAAAGAGACTTAGGAGGCTGGATTTATTCTGGTTTTAGAGTAAGGCAATCCCTCAGGGGGTTAACTCCATGTACTTCTGACTTGTGTTATTTGGCACATCTGCACTGGCTCTCCACAGGCTGGATTCCAGCTGCCATTTTGCAGTGCTTTATCTGAAAAATCTAGCACTAGACTTGGTCACCAGAGAGTGGAAGGGTACCACAGCCTACACAGTGGCAGCCACACTTAATAAGGCCCTGTCCTTGGGACAGTGGTTTTAGCAGATAAATAGCAGCCAGGACCCTCCACTGAGAAAACGGTCAAGGCCCAGCCAACTGGAAGAATAAGCAAATCTGTGGAGGAACCTATATTGGGTCTCTTACACAATTACAGGTCTGTTACAATTCTAAGAGTGACTCATATTAATGAATAGACTCATCTTATTAAATACCATCAGATTTTCTTGACCCCCTCTGTCTATGAGACTGTCAATCACTTGCTATCTACCTCAGTCATTCACTATCAACTCCCTGTAGTTCCCAGTGGTCCCTGAGGCCACCTGGCACCCTGTGGAATCCTTAACTTCTCACACACCGTAGGTCATGGGCTCTCTCTTTCTGTGCGAAAGGCCACAGCTCAAGGCCTGGTTTCTTTGTCCAGTCTCTTACAAAACACACAAGGGTGTTTATTTGAGAGTTACACCCAGAGCAGTAAGAGTGAGGGGAAGGGAAACGAGTCAGGGAAGATTGGGAGGTAATGAAAGGAAAAGCATCACTAAGTTGGCCACTATGCTCTGATGGGGAGACCTAGCAAGCCAGCCTGCCTTGGGCTCTGTTTGCTAGGGAACTCAGGTAAAGATACATAAAGTTGGGTGTCTGAGGTATTTTGTAACCTAAAATTTTCATTTGGTATGTATACCAAATGTCTTCATCTTTTTTGTATAAAGACATATTTTGGATGATCTGGACAACCACTTTATAATTTAGTACTTCTCTGTTTCAATGCTACATTTTCAGTTGCTCAAATTTAGGTACTAAATTAATTTTTATGAACTAATGAACCAAAGAAAAGGGAAATACAAGATGAAATTGGTGCTTATCACTCCATGAAGGCCAAATTAAGTTCGGATAAGGGATATTTCTGAGTAATTTGAATACACGAAAGTGGTGGTTAATTTGGGTTTTCATGGGAGGTTCAGCAAACTTAAAAGAATCTACAAAGTAGCTGACAGTTTAAAATTGATGTTTGGAGTAACATTTAATTTCAGCAAAGTAAATATTAATTTAAGCTTTATTGATTGGTAGGAAATGTGGAATAGACAAAGCAGAGATCTTTGTCTATTTGACCTTTTCAGTGGGAGGAAACCCTGAATTTTATAAGGACAGGGAAGGAGTTCTCTTTGCAAAGTGAGACACAGATTTTATCTTTTTTCCCCTTATATTTAATGATACCTATATTACTTGCTAATGTTTTTGATGGAAGTGGATTGACTTAGGGGAACATCAAGAGGGGCTGAGGTTATGTCAAGTTTGATGAGGATAAAAATAAAGACCACTGTGAATGCTTATTGAAAATGCAGAACAGCCAAGTCTCCCCTGGGTAGGTGAGGGTTGGGGGTAGCGTTGGGTGGGTCAGTGCCCCTGGTTGGGCAAACATTTGTAAGTAAACAAACCTTTAAATAGCCAGACTGCTTGTCAAGGATGAATGTTTCCAGGGAATGGGTGTGGGCTCCCTCACCCTGACTTTAGCATCTGGCGCACTGGAAGGCAAGCCCAACACTCCTCCTAAACTGAAACATTTAAAAGTACACAACTTGATTCTAAGCAATATTTATTCTCCAATTGAAGACAATGCAATGAAACAATTTTAGGTCAAGAGGTTAAAGTTCTGTGATAATCCAACTTTGATAAGTTGAAAAATTGTGTCTATATTTTTACATATATATAGGGATAAAGAAAGACGTCTCCATAATCCACATTTCCCAAAGCAATGGGATCATTAAAGAGTTCTGTCTTCCTCTTGATCCTGTACCTTCTAGAAGGGACCCTGAGCAATTCCCTCATTCAGCTGAACAATAATGGCTATGAGAGCATTGTCATTGCAATTGACCCCAATGTGCCTGAAGATGAAGCACTTATTCAACAAATAAAGGTAAGTTCAGATGGCAATTATCTGGGGGTATTTTTTGGTAATTACTAATTAATAGTCTTTATCTCAAGCATAACATTGTGATAGAAGCTGAGTTCTCTCACTTCAGCTGTGTGACACTGGCAAGTTAGATTTTTGTATGAGTTTCAGCTTCTTCTGTAAAATGGAAATAATAACACTTGGATATTAAGATACTTGTAAGGGATGATGTGAATGTAAGGCATGTAACTCAGAAACATTGTTGGCACTTAATAAATCATGTCTGCTTTTACTGACTGAGTTATTTCACTGAAAATTATTTCACTTTACACTAAGAGTTAGCTAGCTACATTTGGCAGATAATGTAATTGCACAGAGGGTAGTTCTCTTGACTGATTTACCCCTGGGACACAGCAGACTCTTTTTTTATTCTCCTAAATGTAACCCCCTTCCCTGTGATGCTAAATACAAGCCCAGGATACAAGCTGTGAACAACTTTGACCTTTTCAGTGGGAGGAAACCCTGCATTTTATCAGCCTCAAAAAAAGGGGCCCTCTCAGGATTGCTGAAGGGCAACACCTTACCTTGCTACCTCCTGTATGGGAAAAGGGAAGAAAAAAAATGCCTCCCATTCTGGCAGAGGTGCCTAAATCCCTGACAAATGGAGGAATTAGTGATGATCTCATGCCACAAAGAGCAAAAAATAAAAGGGAAATGCCTTATAAAAGACCGTCCTGGAATCTGGCTGCAGCACATCCAGAGGCAGTGTTGTGTAATGAGTAAGAGTGCTAGCCTGCAAAATGAGAACAGTAATAAGTAGCTCCCTGATAGAATTCCATGAGGATCCAATATAAAAATGCATGCATATAAAGGCAAGCTGAGAGAAGGGTGTATAGAAACTCTACAATTCTTTGGATGTCTTCTGCAGTCTGAAGTTATCTCAACAGCTTAAAAACATAACTTCAAAATGCATAGTGCCTGGTACATAGTAAGCACTCAATAAAGGGTAGATGTAGCCATAAGTTACCAATCCCCTTTTATCTCTCTACATGGAAAGTTAATAATGCAAGGGCCCAGGGGGCCCTCCCTTAAAGATTTCTTGCTCCAAGCAGAAGTAAACCCAGAAAAGTGAAGTTTGGAAAGAGAAGCATCTCTGCTTACCAGGAGTTTGTGGGTAGAGTATTGCAGCATCAGGGAATGGGGAACAGAAGAACAGAAGGTGGAGGGGGCTCGTCATAAAGCTTGCCTAGTTAAACCAAATACCATCATGCTGTCTTTGGTAAAGGAAATTCATACATTTTGAAATTTCTCAATAATCAGAAAACTTGTGTGAGTTGTTGATTTCCTGTGAATTTGGAAATGGTATCAGCAAAAAATGAAGAAGACACTTGAAAAAATGAACAAGGAAAAGTGTAGGAGGAAAATGTGTCCAATGTGTTTCTCTCTCTGGCCAGATGGTGGGTTAAGAACATGCCACGAGAATGCAGATCTTTAAGGACAATGGTATCTGTTGGATTTGAGCTCTTAAAGTACTTTTACCTTACTATCTTTGGGGAAAATGTACTTGTAACTACAGTTATTAAATTGGCTTTCTAGAATGAATACTAAATGGGTTGGGTGCGAGATAAGATGGCTTTCACCACTTCCTCCTCTGTGACAAGAACACATAGAGTTACGTGTAATGGTATGCCCAAAGTCCCTGAGTCATTAATAAAAGTGAATTCCTCCTTATTTGATGTTTCAGATCTGCAGAGTTGAGGGACGTCACCATGGGCTTTGCAGTCTTTCCTGCCTACCCCTCAATCTCTGCTTTAATAACCTTTCGGAGGGGAACTGCCCCTTGGCGCCCTTTTGAGGACAGCCTCTAAGTCAACTTCTCTTTCCTTTTTTTCCTTCGTTCCTTCTTTCCTTCCTTCCTCCTTCCTACACTAAAGACTGAACCTCACGCATGCGGTCTACCACTGAATTGCACTCTCCTCAGTCCTGAAGTCAGTTTTTTTTTTATTGGTTGTTCAAAACATTACAAAGCTCTTGACATATCATATTTCATACATTTGATTCAAGTGGGTTTTGAACTCCCAATTTTACCCCAAATACAGATTGCAGAATCACGTCGGTTTTAAATACTTCGCTCTGCAGGATGGTCCTCAAAGCTTTTTCTTCACCTACAAGACCGGTAGAGGGCGCTGCCGCGCTCCATCCACCGTACCTGAACTCCTGCGGATGTGCATTGGAGAAGCCCTGAGAATAAGTCTCACAGATGGGGCAGAGTCAGGGAGATGCGTGCACACACACACGCGAGACAATCCAAAATGGGAGTATTTTGGAATCTCTTCAATGCAGGGGAGCCCAGGCACCACCTGTCTTGGCACAACTGTGCCAGTTTGCCACTCACCATGACCATTTCATTCATTTAGTCATTTGTTCATTTATTCAACAAATATTTACAGAGCATCTACATCACATCATGTACTGAGAATCCGGTTGTTCACTATCCCTGTCCTTAAGGCTTTTTGGTCCATCCTGTAAGCCATTAGCCACCAACCTTCTCTCAGTCCCAGAGTTAAATATCTATTTGGATATAAGGTTATCTTCTCAAAATTTTGAACAGATGCCAAAAGTTTCTGTTAAGACATGAAAAGCAAGAGCATTTTCACTGCTTGGTCTTCCTCTTGGGAGACTAAAAGTTAACATTTCAAAAGACAAAGTGTAATTTAATACTCTAATATAATATAATACTCAGGAAGTTTTACATACATATCTCAAGGTTTTGGTGATTTTTTACTCCATTTAAAAATTTTTGTACAATAACATGATGTTGAGCTATCTTAGTGTTTGTTAAAAGTTAGGATTTTTAAAAGAGGAAAATATAAATTGTTAAAAATCCTTTTTTTTTAAACAACTGGCAAGACAACCATTATTCTTGTACCTGTTCAGGGGCAAGAAGTTAGGTTTTAAACCTAACTTCACCCATGTCTTAGTCTCATTTCATGGATTCTGATTTCCTTCACATGTACTAGCTGCTTCTTCCAGGTCCCTTTTGCTGGCTCCTACTCTGCTCATGTCTAAATGATGGAGTTCCCTTCTTTCCTCTGTTTATACTCTCAGTCCTAGCTGACCCAGTGCCTTCTTTCCACAGCAATTGCTTATAAAACTCTCTCTGCCTTGTCATAATGCAACTCAGGGAGCCTGCAGAAGCATCTAATGCTACAGTTCTTAATAATGTTACATGTAATTTGAAAATAAGTAAAAATGCCATTGTCTTGTATCTCTAGTATTATACCAAAAATAAATACTACTATAAAGGTTAGTATTAAATTTAGTTTAACTTAGTATTAAATACACAAATTATTACAAGACTGAGCAGATGTTGAGGTTATATTCACTTGAGGCTTTCTCTATATTATTTGCTGTGAGATCTTGAGAATTACACTCTCTAATTCTGTTACTCTCCCAAAGATTTATTGATCCTCAAGTGATCAAATGAAATGAAACCAGTAGATGACATTTAATAAACACTTATTTGTGCCAAGTACACACTGTTCCTAGTGCTTCACATGTTTGATTTCATTTGTTCCTCACACCAACCTTATCAGGTAGTTACTGTAATATCTTCCATTTTATAAATGGGGAAACTAAGGCTCAGGATTAGGAAGTGCCCAGTGTCCCATAAGAAGTGGTTGACTTGGAATGGAACCACCATTTGACCCAGTCATCCCACTCCTAGGTTTATATCCAAAGGACTTAAAATCAGCCTACTACAGTGACACAGCCACATCAATGTTTGTAGCAGCTCAGTTCACAATAGCTAAACTGTGGAACCAACCTAGATGCCCTTCAACAGATAAATGGATAAAGAAACTGTGGCATATATACACAATGGAATATTACTCAGCCTTAAAGAAGACTGAAATTATGGCATTTGCTGATAAATGGATGGAGCTGGAGAATATCTTGCTAAATGAAATAAGCCAATCCCAAAGAACCAAAGGCCAAATGTTTTCTCTGATACGCAGATGCTAATTTTCTCTGATATTCTAATTCACAATGAGGGGAGGGCTAGGGAAGAATAGAGGTACTTTGGATTAGACAAAGGAGAATGAAGGGAGGGGAGGGGTATTGGGATAGGAAGGAGAATAAATCGGACATTATTACCCTATGTACATATGATTAAAAGGACTGGTATAATTCTATGTACAACCAGAAGAATGAGAAATTATACTCCATTTATGTATGAGGTATAAAAATGAATTCTACTGTTATGTATAACTAATTAGAAAAAATAAAAAATATATGTTTATGTGTGTGTATGTGTGTGTGTGTGTGTGTGTGTATGAAGTGGTTGATCCAGCGTTAGCATTTGCCTCTAGAGTCTCCACTATTTACCATTGTACCATGACACTAAGTATGTGGCAAACGCTCAAAAAGTTTAGATGGTATTATTGAAAGATATTTCACATTTCCTCTTTCCATTTAGTCTTTTAAAAGGTAAAATACAGATGTAAATTTGAATGATTGGTAATTTAGTCTATTTTCAGATGTAATTATTGTGTATGTTTTCTTTCTTCCCAGGATATGGTGACTCAGGCATCTCCATACCTGTTTGAAGCTACGGGGAAACGATTCTATTTCAAAAATGTTGCCATTTTGATTCCTGAAAACTGGAAGACAAAACCTGATTATGTGAGACCAAAACTGGAAACCTATAATAATGTGAGATTGTCAAGTTCTTCTTTTGAAAGTCAATTTTCTTCTGTAATTTAGATATTAAAAAATCAAAATACTCTAGAATCAAGTGGATTATTCCAAAATTCTCCAACATGATGAGGTCAGTTTCTTTGCTGAAAGGCAGCCATAATCAAAACCTCTTTTGAAATTTCAGGCTGATGTTCTGATTGCTGAACCTAATCCTCCGGGTAATGATAAACCATATACTGAGATGATAGGAGGGTGTGGAGAAAAGGGTGAAAGGATTCATTTCACTCCTGACTTCTTAGCAGGAAAGAAGTTGACTCAGTATGGACCACAAGGTATGGGTACAGATAAAATATTCTACTATATTACTCGTAATCTAATCATTATATTTTAAAAGTGGATAAACAATAGCATTATCTTTGTGAGTAGCCCACATAAGCCAAATTACACTACTATAAACTGACAAAGCATGTTTTTCCATGTGAAACAGGAATTCAGAACAGTGCATTTCTCAGACATAATTTATTTTTTAAGATATTTAAATTTAATGTTATAATTTTGAAAATTATTATAGTACCAGGTAATAGCTGTAAAATAGTTTAATATGTAGTATGAAGTTTTTGTAGATCCAAGACTCACCTGAATTAAACCTTCTTCCTGCAATTCATATAGTAGCCACCAGATGGCACATATCAACAGTACTCTCAGACTTTTATGTTTTCAAATATAACTAGATCTTCTCAAAATGCAGGTTCTAAAAAAAAATTGCAGGTCCTGATTCAGTGCACATGCAGAGGGATTCAGTAGCATGCATTTTTTAACAGGCTCCCAGTGATGCTGCTACTGCTGGTCTGTGTGCCACAATGAGTAGCAAAAAAGAATAAATACCCTTACAGTTCAGCTCTCAAAAGATAAAGAAAAAGCCTAATTTTCTTTTACAAAAGAAACTTTTAATCATTTCTTTATGAGCTATATAGAGCAGTCTTTGGAGGAAATATTAAAATAAGCAACAAAGTATTTATAATGTATGCTTTCCAAGTATAATCAATTGTGATTTACTAAATGACTAGTATTATATATTTTTTTAACCTGAAGTCTCTAGAATCGGCTTGATTTCCTTTACTTAGACAAAGAAGAGAAAACAAACAAAAGACTTTGGTGTCTCCATGCCCCACCCCCAAATACACTAGAGCACTTGTCAGAAAAGTGTCAAATGTACGTCTTTGTTGTTCTCTATGTGCCCGGATTTGGCAGAGAAAAAGTCATATTGCCTGTTCTCACAAATGGGATTCCAGTGTGGGAAAATAGCAAGATTATGGAAGAATGACAATATAACAAGCACCATAATTGGAATAATAAAAGAACAATGGTCTAGTCTGAGTATGTCCAGGAAGGCTTCCAGGTGGACAGAAGCTTGATTTTTAAAGAACAGGAGGTATCCTGGCAGAAATAAAGAGAGGGATTCCAAGAAGAGAAAAACCTATAAACCAGAGATGAGCAAGAACATGAGGTAGCCTGGAATGTAAAAGTTCAAGAATTTAGCACAGAGAATTTTGAAAATGGGTAGGGAACAATAGGAAATAAACTCTGGAGAGGAGCAAGGCCTAAATCCTCAGGAAAAGACAGGAAAGCAGTTTAGATTTCATGAAGAGCCAACTGACATTTACTAGGTCCCTGGTTAACATCTGATGACCCAAAATAAGTATTTGTATTTTACAAAAATGTACACTTGTCATATTTGACCATTCTCAGGAAACAAAGTCTCTAGTATAAAAAAGAAAAAAAATATCACAAAGCATAAAACATTAGAAGACTAACTTTTCTTCCAGTGCGAGAAAGTTATGCTACACTTCTTATTGTACTCAGGTGTTTGAAATATTTTCTCACAGGTAGGGTTTTTGTCCATGAGTGGGCTCATCTACAATGGGGAGTATTTGAAGAATACAATGATAACCAGAAATTCTACTTATCCAACGGAAAACCGCAAGCAGTAAGGTATTAAAATGCAAACATTTTCCCCTAACTTAATTAATTTAAAAGTATCAGTCTTGTTTTCTATCTCTAATTCATTCTCAGTGCATTCTTTTTCATCTTTTAATGAAACTACCACTTTGTTTATTTTACAAGTTCTTCATTTAATCGAGTTCTCTATTTTGCAACTAGAAATCATTGGCTTTTACTTAAGTGTACCAACTATCATATGCCTACAGTCACCATGTGAAATGTCTCCATTTCCTGTCAGTGACATAAGAACTAATGGAGCTCTTTAAGGCAGAAAGATGTCTCTGTGGACTTTTGTTAGTATGAATGGGCCTGGTAGGGACTGTGGAGCTTAGCTAAAAGACAATCCAAATAGTAAAGCAAAGGCTGGGATGTGGCTCAGCAGTGAAGCACTTGCCTAGCATGTTTGAGGCCCTGGGTTCAATACCCAGCACTAAAACAATACAGAAATAAGACAAAAACACCTTACAGTTTGAACTAAACTCTATGTAGTATCAGTAGAAAACAAACTGAATCACATTTATAAAGTATGCTTGGCTGCCATGGTTTTATGGGGAAGTTCTTCTATACAGTTTCCCTATATATAAACTGCTTTAGTACAAACATAAATGATAGGGAACTTGCCAATTTAAAGAGCTATAATAATTCAGATACTAAAACCTGACAGATGAGTTGGAAAAAATTGTGTACACCTTTGTAGAAATCAGAGGCAAAGATTTTAAATGAAAGGATAATAAGATCCAAGAACTGGTGGAATTAAAGGAATAGGAAACACACTAAGGCTCAATAGGATGCTTCCAACAATTCAGCAATGTTGTGAAATTAGGGAAGTAACTAGTGTAGTACCTAAAGTAAAGCTAAAAAATAAATGATTATTCCAATAGATTCTCATAAAGATACTTGATAAAATTTCACATTTATTCTTGAGTTAAAAAGTAATAAACTCTTTTTAAAGAGCAAAAGTTGGTACAACACCCTTTTCATTTCTACTGCCAGTCCTAATCAGATGATGGCTCTTTTAGGAGATGTACTCAGCTTTGGTTGGTTTGCAGAATTTATTTATTTATTTATTTATTTATTTAGTGTGTGTTGGGGGGTGTGGTACTAGAGATTAAACCCAGGGCTTCATAATGTTCAATGAACATACTAACACTGAGCTAGATCCTCAGCACCTCATTCACAATCTTGATTTGATACAGTCATTTCCACCTGGAGCAGGTGGTATGGTGTAAAGGCTCAGAACTCAGGCTTGACCCCCCCCCCCCGCCACACACACACACACACACACACTTCTCCCACATGAGCATTACTGTTCCCTACTTTTCTTTTTCATTACTATAGTCAAGCTCTATGGGCATGAGCTTTCTATTGTTGTTCCTCATTCTTGGGAACCCTTCAGCCATAAATGAATACTAGGTACATTGCTGATTCCTAGAACCATGCACCATGCGTGGTCTATCAGATTCCTTCAGCATATACCTTTGGCACTATAGATACTACAGCCTGCGATGATCATAGGTTGGTCTGACCTTTCAAATCCCAGCCAATAGGCACCATTCCAAACCTGATGTCTGCCTTTCCTGTTTCCCTTTGCTAAGCTTCTAGAAGGTTGGACACCATATCTTCCCTTGAGAGAAAGTCTGATTAGTACCTATTCCTTTATGAGATATTACAGAAATATCTACATATCAGCATGTTCTTCATTCCAAATGGCACACAAATGGCTATGTATGCTACATTAGTAAAGTGGACATGATTGGCATGTCCTCTTAAAAAGAAATTTCCATATATTAATAATACATATTGTTCCTTATCTTCCTAACTTTTAAATTATTTTTAAAGCCTAGGAGAAATCACAAAAATGACAATACTTTGCAGAACAGAAGATTACTTCCTTAACATGATACAGAACATCTATGAAAATCAACAATCTATAGTATATTTAATTGAGAAACACTTCCTAGGAATAGGATAAGGATGGCCATTATAATCATAGTTATCTAAATTTGTTTAGGAAGGTGTAGCCAAGGCAACAACATAAATCTGGGGAGGTACAAAAAAAAGGGATACCAGAAAGAAAGAGAGAAAATTGCTTTTTTTGCAGGTGATATGTGGCCCACTTAGAAAAAATAGAATATATTTATATATTGTTATTGAAATATAATGAGTTCAAAAATATAATGGAAAAAATACTCCAGTCAGGATAGCAATTCAATAGGAAAAAATCTTAAGAAATCTGGAAGATATATTTGAAGAAAACTATAAAATCATTCTAAAGGATTTAAAAGCAAACCAAGATAAATTGACTTTTAATATATGAATTTCAACCAAAATTTATATGTAGGTTTTATGAAATTCTCATCAAAAGACCATTCTTTATTACTTCACTTTAAAATCCTGGGGTCCATTCAATTAATATCATCTCTGAAAAAGAATCATAATAAAGGGGACTTTTACTTACCAAACTTGAAAGTATACTATAAAACTACACTAATTAAACAATGTGGACAGACAGGCAATTGTTTATATAATAATTAACTATTTAATATACTTTGAATTACCAATCTAGAAGGAAAGTTAGTATTTCTTAAAATGCCAGAAAAAATTTAACTATGGAATAAAAATTAACAGAGACTCTTCCAATTGGATAGACTCATTAAATATAAAAAATGATAATGCAAACCATAAGCCTATGAATAAACTGCAAATCTCTATGTAATGAAGGCTTTTCTGTGCATTTAAGAATTGGGAAAAGACATAATAAAAGAACAATAAATACTTACTAATTTAAAATTTTGCTGTACACAAACCGAACATAAATTGGAACAAGTAAAAATAGAAATAAGTTTGAAAAAAAATTTCAAAACATGTCTTTTGAAGCTTAGTATTATAACACATTAAGAACTTTGGGAATTCAGTGAAACCTAACAGAAAAATTGGCAAAAGAGAAGAATATATAATTCACAAAAGAAGAAATAAAAATGGCTGATAAACATATAAAATATTTATACTTACTAGCATCAAAGACATGCAAGTTGGACAAAGATGAGGTTCATTTATTACCTAGTAAGTTACTATCACAACATCGAGAGCTCCCACAGATAGTTGTTAGAGGCAAAAATTGGAGCAACTTTCTGGCAAGTAATTTGAGAGATACTTATCAATTCTCTACATTTTTTCTTGACCCAGCAATTTCATACTTAAAAATTCATTTAAGGAAATGATAGAACAAGTCATATCAATTTTAAAACATTCAAATTTTTGGATCTGACAATTTAACTCTGGAAGTCAATCATGTGGCAAACTTGGAAATATAGTCAAAAGTTTATGTGAAATTTTGTTTACTAATTCTTTCTTTTTAGTACTGACAAACTAGGGGATAAACAAAATTAAATAAATTAGCTTGAATTTATATTATAGTACCAAAAGATGATACTATTAAAATCGCATTTTGAAAGAATATTAAAATTGTTATTAAAAATTTAAATATGCTAGCATACTCAGGTTTCTAAAAGCATAAAACAACAGTGTGTGTGCAATCTAATGCTAATACACAGAGCACAAAATACTTCCATATGTTAACAGTAGTTTATTTCTGATGGTGAGAACTTTTTTCTTTTATTCTTTATATTTGTGATTTTCCAAATATTCTGTAATATTCATGTATTGCTTATACTCAAAAATATAATTAAAAAGTAAGATCTAGGAGGAAAACACTCCATTCATAACACCAAACATCAAACATACAATATAAAAAGTTTAAATATCCATGAATATACAAGAACCATGCAAAAACAATGTGGAAAAATGAGAAAAAATAAATTAACAAACAGGAAATTTCAGCAAGTCTTTTGGGGAAAACAAAGAGGGCTCCTGATTTTCTAGGAATGAGAATAGATGAAAAGGTACCTAAGTACTCTGATCCTTTCTAATACAGCATCCATAAACTAGACTTAGCTTTTCACTGCATAAAAATAAAATCTTCTTTTTCTACTTTTTTTATTGGAAATAAATATTGATATTGTTTTGGGAGGCCCTCAGATGCTTTCTGAAAAACATAAATGACTGATGAAAATTGAATAATTTTGCTATGTAAGGGCATCTTTCTTGGATGATGAGAGCAAATCATAGACAAGGCGATTTGTCAGAGACTGAACACAGAGTATAATGCTTTGGAATATTTTATTTCCTAAACATCTAACCTCAACACATTTTCAGATGTTCAGCAGCTATTACTGGTACCCATGGAGTTCCAAAGTGCCAGGGAGGAAGTTGTATCACCAAACCTTGCAGAATAGACAAATTAACAGGATTGTATGAACAAAACTGTGAGTTCGTACCCAAAACGCAACAGACTGAGAAGGCTTCCATAATGTTCCAACAAAGTATTGGTTCCGTAAGTACCTTATTTTCAACTTTTCCCCCACACTTATGAATTTAGAGATTTTTGCCCCCACCCCACCCCCTGCAGGTGCTCCAAGAAGATTAAGTGTAGGGAAATTTTCAGGGAAACCATCAGCTTTAGGGAAAAATCACCTGATTCTCTTTGGGACTAGCTGCGAATACATATTCAGGGGTAAAATCACAGCGTCTCCCTCACTGCTTCCTGTGTCGATTCTTTCTTCTCCACCATCTCTCTCCTACTAGCTTTTATTTTAAGGATTTAGAATGACTTCAAGTGTCCTTAAAGGCATACAAACACAAAAATTCTTAGTTATATAAGGCATTTACCTAGGGAGATTAGGCAGTTAACAGTAATATAAACAGTAATTATTTTTATTTCCATATTTTTATTGGTACATTATAAACCAAAATATTGATGGGATTTATTGTTACCTATTCATACAAGCGCACAATATAACAATATAATTTGGCCAATATCACTCCCCAGCATTTTCCTCCTCCTTCTCTCTCTCCCTCCCACACTTTGGCCTCTTTCCTCTACTAATATCCCTTTGATTTTTAAGAGGTCCACTCCCCATACCTTTATTTTCCTTTTTCCTCTCCAGCTTCCACATATGAGAGAAAACATATAATTCTTAACCTTCTGAGTTTGACTTGATGTGTTTTCAGTACTAAAACTTACATTGAGCTTTTGTTATTTGTCAGACACTGAGCCAAAATTTTGAGAAAGTGAAATTTAATGAGACCTGTTTCTTCCTTAGATAAATGCGCTATAATGTTAGAGGGTACTTGCTAAGGTTTCTACATTGTCTTGTAAGGCCACAAAGGGTTTAGTGGAAATTCTCTAGGGAAGGACAGAAAATTAAAAAAACATTTAGAAACCTCTAGCTAAAAATAAAGGTACAGTTTACAATGCAGAAGATTGAGGAGGAACTTCTTGACAAAGTACCACAAGCAAAGGCATAAGTCTGGCAAGTTTAGAAACTAATAGGCTATAATGGGAAAAATTAGAGACAGAAGAACACACAGAATGAGGATGGAGAGTGAGGCAGCAATCTAAATCACAGAGATTGCTATTTTGCTATGTGAAGGAGTCCAGTTGATAGTTGTGTGAGCAACAGTGAATCTCAAAAGGGTATTATATACAAGGGTAAGAGGAAAGAGGTTGCTATGGGTAGACCAGTTGGAGGGAAAACAAATGGAAAAGACAGATAGGAGATAGCAGTAGTTTGAGGGAGGAACGGTAAGGGTTTGGATGTTAGAGATTCCACTGGAAAAGAAGATGAACTGGAGAGTGAAATGTATCACTCTTGGTTATCCTGTAGGGGAAAACAGATAAGAACACTCCCAGTTTCCTGATTTGAGTGATTGGGTGCATTACTGGTAACATTAAGTTAGGAAACATATGAGGAATGGTAATAATGCTGGAGAAAAGTGATGAGGGAATTTATGAACACATGGAGTTTGAGGAGCCAGTGAGACATCCAAGGAGATTTTGGAGCTGGAATATTGGGTGTTGAAGGTTGGAATGCAGGGTGCTGGTAAGTGAGGTGGTGCAAGTTTGGAGAGATAAGATGGCATCAGGAGATATACCAAACTTGAGGAGTAGAAAGGAAGACACTTAGAGCCGGTAAGTGGGTGCTGAGGAGCATTGAGGGTCCAATGAGGTGAAAGATATGGTTTGAAACAGGAACTCTGACTTACAGCTCTGATTCCTTAGCAGTGCTCTACAAGAAGTGGAGCCAAGGTTCCAGGTGAGCAGGGCAGGCTGGGGAGAAAGGCAGGGGTTTTACGTTATTAAATATCTTAACAAATACTTAACTATTGTCTACATCATTTTATTGACAATTTCAGGTGGTTGAATTCTGTACAGAACAAAACCACAACTCAGAAGCTCCAAACTCGCAAAACCAAAAATGCAATCTCCGAAGCACATGGGAAGTGATCCGTGAGTCTGAGGACTTTAAGAAAACCACTCCTATGACAACACAGCCACCTAATCCCACTTTCTCACTGCTGCAGATTGGACAACGAATTGTGTGTTTAGTCCTTGATAAATCTGGAAGCATGTCGGTATGGTCACCAAGTCTTGGTTTGGTTGCTAGTTATAGATAGGGGTACAACATGATCTAGACCACAACTTGGAACTGACTGGGATGAATACACTGCCAGGGTCAGAGCAATTACAATAGCAGCTCAGCCATCAGAAATGCCCACCTATACAGTGATCTGGCATTAACTGTCTCATTTTCTAAATTGTTTTCAGCTAATAAGCCAAGATCTGATAAATCATAACATAAGCGTAACTTTTTTTTTGTTTCACTGACAATACATAGGTCTATCGGTCTATAAGGTCCTATATAGGACTTATCTAGAACTATTATTAAAGCATTGTACTTTAATGATTGTGTATTCTAGGTTTACTTTTGGAATTTTAGTCCTAAAATTATATCCAAAGATGCTGCTAAATGGAAAAAATTTCCAGTATGACATGCCTCAAGTTATCTCCTTGTCAGTTACTGTGCATTGAGCCAGTCACTTCCAAAAACCCTCTAGCCTGTTGTTGTTAGTCTTTTCCTGTAACCCCAACCTGACTGCTCTTCTTCTGTTTGTCCACTCAGAATGCTAACCGCCTTAACCGGATGAATCAAGCAGGGAAGCTTTTCCTGCTGCACACCGTGGAACAGGGCTCCTGGGTTGGGATGGTGATGTTCGACAGTGTCGCCTATGTACAAAGTGAACTCAGACAGATTAACAGTGACGCCGACAGGGATGTTCTCACTAGAAGCTTACCCACAGTACCTTCAGGAGGGACATCCATCTGCTCTGGGCTTCGATCGGCATTTACTGTGAGACATATTCCCCTATAGCAGTTTGCCAATGTTTGCCATTTTTGTTCCTAAGAAATTTCCATACACACCTACTGTCTAATTGATTTAGACAACCAAGGACAAAGTAATAGTTCAAATGATGCAAAGAAAAAGGCCTCCAAAGCTATTATTAACTAATTCACTCATGCTTTTGTACTTTTCTGCAAGTATACCTCATTCAAAATATTCAAAGTGTGCATTCTACATGCCAAATATTTTCTTGGCTCTAAGAATACTATGAAGGCCAAACAGAGAGCTACCTCCTTACAATATTATTGGGGAAGATGTATTAACCATATAGTAACATGAATGAATGTATACTCATAAACTGTAATTAGTGCTATGAAGGAAAGGTACATAAGGATCTTAAAGAGTTATCTTTTATTGGGAAAAAAAAGCTACAAAAATGTTGAAATTCCAAGGCAACTGAACTCTCCAAACTTTGGGAGACATTGGATGACCTTTTAAGAAAGAAAATAATTTGTTGAATCAGGAGGCCTTAGGAACCATAACTACGATTGTATTGGGGTCATAGCTAAAGATCTTGTCTGACTATCTGACCACATCATCCCTCACTTACATAATAATGTATCCCCATTTTCAATGAAATTATGTAAAACTTCCTGAGAATTTTTGTGATAAGACTCCAACCTACCTTTCCAGGCTGAAGCACTGGGGACTTTCTTCCTGGTATCCCTTGTTTAAGCAAATTGAGTCAGCTCACTTCAAAGCATCTGGATGTTTGCCAGGCTGCCTCCTCAAGCACAGTACTTTCTCTTCCCTTCCTTGCCCATTGATTACATTCATTCTTCAAAGAATAGATACCATCTACTTCTTGATATCATTCCTTATCCTCTCAACTGTCTAGGAATCTCTCTTTCTGAATCCTATAGCTCTTAAAAAACCCAAAAACCTCTTAAGACTTCTAGGCTCTTCTGTCTTATAACTAATTATGTGTTTCAAACAAAACTCCTTTAGGAATAAGAGTATCATTTTACCTCCCAGGCTTCTGGCCCAATGTCAGAATGTTCTTGGTAAATAAATTTGAGTTATTTGATGCCCTAACACCACCTGATGCTTAATTGTACTAAATATCCTATATTTATTTAGGGGCTATTTAGCTACATAAAACAAAGAACAGGAAGCTGAACAAGGTGGGCTGGCCTAAGGTCACACAACCTCACAACACCTTAGTGGGTCTGCTTTCTGCCTGCTCATTGGGCACAACACACATATTTGATGCATTTTGGGCCTGTTTCAGCTCTCCAAGTAGCAGCAGAAATGTGTAGTTTCCAGCTTACATAGTTTGATGTGGACACTGGACTGAACCAATTTCTCAGTGTTGTCTATCCCTCTGGTTATTTTATTCCACTCTGAAGTACTTTCTTAAAAGTACTTTTAATCACGAATTTAGCAGCAAATTCCTCTTCCAGACCAGGCATATAGATACCATATGGTTCTGTTACCTCTGTCACTCAAGCAAAGGGGCAAGTGAGGTAGGAGCACTGACCAATGGAATCACTGTAAGCTGCACTGAACTCCTGCTATATGAAACCCTGGGGAGATGACTCATGCCAGATGGAGTGGTAGTGATGAGAAAATTTTCCATTTAGATGAGTGAGGGAGAGTGTGAGATCCAACTGGAGTCTAGAATGCTCCTCCTCCCCAGTGGAGTCTGAACATGGGGTGGAGGAGCTTATGTGACTTCAGGGTGATAAGATGAAGGGTCTTGGGTTCTGCACTGTCCTCCAGATCTGTGCTGGTCCCCACAGCAGGACCCTGGTCAGGCCTGTCATGGGCTCCTGGCAGTGGTATCTGTGTGGTTATAAGACTTTGCTTTGTTCTCTAGGCTCTACCAGGGCCCAGCGGTCCTCCCCAGCAGACTTGGCCTCACCCTGGCTCTCACTATTGGAGCAGAGCCCTGAGCACCCTGTGTCCTCCATCTAGCTCCAACCAGGTTGTGCATTCCTCAGCCACATGGCAGGACTACCTGTTCTCACCTGCTGACTCAACTCTATTGCCTTCCATCTTCCCTGTGGGAGATGTGAGATGTGAGAACTTCTTTCTGTTTTCTAGGACACACAGCAATTATGAGGAGGGAGACAAGGAAATTCAAATTGGGCCATATTTTTTTAGCTTCCCAGGCCCTGCCCTCTACCTGCTCCTTGGACACAACACACATATTTGATACATATTGGAGCTGTTCCAGCTCTCTAAGTGGCAACAGAAATGTGTAGTTTGATCAGACCAAGGCCATGATGACAACTGACAGGTGCTCCGCTCTGCCTCGTCCACATGCCACTGCCACAGTTCTGCTCTCTTCCCATGTTATCAGCTGCCTTCTTTGGTTGCTTCCTCAGAGTTCAAATAAGGAGTGGGCACAAGCCTCCTCTGCCCTTAACTTCCCTTCCAACTACTTTTAACACTTTCCCATTCTGAGATTTGTCCAGAGAGGGAGGTTGTCAAGCCTAAGCTTGATTGTTTCCTCTGATTCTGAGTCTCTCTCTCAACTCATTCTCATTTAGGGGAAGAGTGGATTCTTGCCTTTATATGTTTAAATGGGTCACAAATTCTTTATCTAATTTTCCACCCATCTTAGTCTTATTCAACCTTGGTATGAGTTTCTCTCTCTCTCTCTCTCTCTCTCTCTCTCTCTCTCTCTCTCTCTCTCTCTCTATATATATATATATATATATATATATATATATATATATATAAATCTGAGTCTAACAGGGATATTTGAAATATGGGTGTCATAGAAAAACTTGGAATTGGGGATTCATAGGAACAAAATGTTTTGCTTTAATAAGAAGGGCTACTAAAATTTTTAATTACTCCTATGATATGAGTAATGACCAATCAGAACCAATGCCAGCCATAAATAGTTGATATTGTTTGGTGAATATCATACAAGCTAAAAATCTTCCCTGTGTCCAATATCCCCAAATAGAACCCCCACTTATGAGGATGTTTTCTAAAGGTGTCTCGGATCTTCTGGAAGCCTGGCAAAGAGAGCCCTGGCAAAGAAAATAAGAAAAACCTTTGCTGCATCCCTAGCACCATCCACCCCTAGAACTGCCCTGCATCCCCCAGCACTCCTCTCTGTGAGTTGCTGCTCTAAAATTATACCATTGCAAAACAGATTCATGGATGCTCCCAGATACTTTTGTTTATTTCCTCTGGAATTTCTCCTCTTGTCCCATAAAAGTGCAGTTTTCATAAACACCCTGGTCACCGGAAGTCTGCTAATGCATGCCCTGAAATATGTCTTTAGGTGATTAGGAAGAAATACTCTACAGATGGAGCTGAAATCGTGCTGCTGACTGACGGGGAGGACAACACTATAAGCAGCTGCTTTAATGAGGTGAAGCAAAGTGGAGCCATCATCCATACAGTCGCCCTGGGGCCCTCTGCGGCTAAAGAACTAGAGGAGCTGTCCAAAATGACAGGTGAGGGATGACCTGCTGAGGCCCACCAGACTGTGAGCTCCAGTGAACTGGGGAGTCAGGGGAAGGTGGGATGAAGTGAGATGGGGTAATCTTCTTGGCCAGCTAGCTGCTCTTCCTTCAAATGGCCATTAGAACTGACTCCACCCCCATATTTTAGAGCCTTGGTTCTAGGATTAGAGAATTCTGGAGAAGATGGGACCAGCACAGCACCAAGTGAGAACTCAGGACTCTCTTCCCAGGCATCTTATAAGAATTAGTAGAAATCTACCAGTTGGCAGATTTCCACTTGGCAGCAGGCCAAGAGACCCAGGGGAGACAGGTGACAAGCCACTACATACTACCATGGTACAAGTGCTATATTAACAAAAGGAAGTATGATAAAGGGGCTGGGGTTGTAGCTTACCTTGCACACGTGAGGCACTGGATTCAATCCTCAGCACCACATAAAATAAATTAATTAATTAAACTTATTTTGTCCATCCACAACTAAAAATATTTTTTTTAAAAAGTATAATGAAGCACACAAATATAGAGTATTTAACTTTACCTGAGAAAGAAGGGCCGGAGAAGGAAGGGAAAACAGCAGGGGAAGGGCAAAGAGTCTGGTGAACAATAAAGGTTACTCTGAAAATGTAGCAGACAATGCAGTTTCTCCATGAAACATTAACGTATTGTATATCTAACTCCCATACGCAAACAGATGGTTCAAAGAGACCCCATAAGTCCCTGGCTTCTTTAGCTGAGTAGGTGAGCACAATGTTTTTCCTCTTCTTTTACTTAGTGATAGTATTAGGGATATAAATTATTAAACTAATCTTCCTTCTGGGGCAACTAAAATGTTGGACCATTCAAGCCTAATACTACCTGAAAGGCCAAGGTTCGTCATCGGAGATTAAAATGCACACACACAGATAGCAGTGACAAAGATGAAGCACTTTACTGCAAGCTGGTGCTAGCTTATATAGAAAGTGAGAGTCAGTTATCTTAAACCAGGAAGCTCCCGGGGCCAATCATAGTAAAGGTCAGTTCGTCACCTAAGGTGCACGCACGTCCGCCCTGCATAAGATTCATGGGGGGCACGAACTGTCCACGTGTACGGAAGACGGGAGGGCCAATTAGAAGGTTTTCAAAACAACTTGTTATCCGCCCACTGGCAACTTGCCCGCTGCCATGTTGCATTAGGGGCTCCTTATCTGAAAGGCCCGGGGAGTTCTAGCTGCCCAATGGCAATTTGCCCACCGCCATGTTTGAAAGGCCCGGGGAGTTCTCAGGGAGACTCCCAACACTACCTGTCCTGAGCTGGGTTTCCTATGAGCAAAGCCTGAGACAGGGATTTGGGTGGATAGGATTTGTAGAGGAACAGCTCTCAGGGAAAACAAAGTGAGGAAACAAGACAGAGGGGCAAGTGGCTAAGCATGGATGCAGACTTAGAACCTAGCTAAAGGCTGACCCCTGATGGGGCTCTGGATCAGGAACTGCATCATAGAGTTGGTCCCACCAGGAGGCCAGAGGGCTGCCTTTTGTATTGCTGTGTCCAACAGCCACTGGCTGTGAACTGTTAGGGCAGGACAGAGGGGAGAGTCTTTTTCTTTTCTAACTAGGATGACCTTTTTTGGTAAAGTGGTTCTCGGAAAAGGAGGCAACCATAGCTGTTAGTAGTGAACACTCAGAACAACAGGAAGAGATGCATTGGCCTAGATAAGGAGATATGTGTGGGACATCAAAAGCATTTCCAATATATTTTCTTTAACTTTGGGTGTCATTTAAATAGTTTAAAAATAATTTCACATCAACTTATCATAGTTACATTTATCCTCAAGAGCCCAAGACTGACAGGTCTAGTATCTAAATCTTATTTTTCTGTATAGCCTACTTTTCTGAAACTGCCCTTTGTCTACTGTTATTTATTGCTATTGCCACTTCTTTCCTGATTTTGATGAAAACTCTAAAGCTAAGTTTGTTAGAATTAGTTCTCAAATAAGATTCAGTCCATCAACCTGGAATAAGGTTTAATCAATGCTCTCATGTGAAAGTAAAAATGCAGACAGTATGATGTTACTTAGGCCTCCCTTCATGGTTGAATTGCAGATAGTTGAGGTAGTCAGATGACAGAGATGTTGCTAAAGCTATTATTTACTAGGGTTAAAAAATCAGTATCAACTTCTAAGTTAATCTGGGCATATATTTGATGTTGAACTATTTTTACTTTAATAATAATACAATGGAATATTTATTTTAGGTATTCTTCTTTCTGAACAACAGTTAAAATATTGTAAATTCTTGTTTTCTGGAAAATAACTTATGATGATGTGATTGCGTTTTAGGAGGTTTACAGATGTATGCTTCAGATCAAGTTCAGAACAACGGCCTCCTTGATGCTTTCGGGACCCTCTCATCAGGAAATGGAGCTCCTTCTCAGAGCTCCATCCAGGTTGGAGTTCTTTCTTTTTTGTTTTTCATTTTTATACATAATCATAGCCAAGATGGAGACTTTAATATTTAAAATTTTTAAGTTCTACATTCTCTATTTGTTAATTAAAATTAAATTAGAAGATTCAGCCTGGTATTAGATATTATTCCTAAAGTATAAAACTACTCATCTAAACAGGCAATTAGTGTTTAGTTGTTTGGAAACAAAACTAAGTGACTCCTTCATAGAAACCAGCAATATAAAATGTAATGGGTCTAGAATTTTTTTTTTAAACATCTGCTAACAAACACACAGCAGTAAAATTGGCTGAGTATTTTCTTTAGAGTAGAATGTCTCAATTATGAATTTTCTGGGACAAGTGTCCAGGGGATTACTTGTTCTATTTTTCCACTACCTCAAATCCCTAATATTGGCCAGGATTTTCATATAATGGAGAGAAAGCACTTTTCATGGTGGAAAGCCTGTGCTGTCCATACAGACACTGGAACCTTGACCCAGGTCTGCCATTTACTGACCAGGGCCAAGAACTGTACCTCTCTAGGTATAGACCAGAAAACCTCCATGGGCCCATTTGTTTCTAAAGTTTCAAGAAGACCAAATTATCTTTTGAAAGTTCTTGAGACTATTTTTAAAAAGGACAAGTATTTTAAAGTGCTCTTTTCTAGTAGATGTAGAAGTTACATGAATCTTTAAACTAGAAAAAGTAAGTGATCAGCACACACCCTGGTATGAATTATAACTTTTATACATTTATAAAGTTTGGGTAAAGATAAAGAAATACTATAATATCAAAGCCTAAATCGACAGCTTTCAAAACAACAGGGTTTCAGGTCTACTAATGTAGCATTTGTTCCATCCAGGAAGACAATAATTATATCTATCCAAGTTAACCTATGCCAGAGTTCAGAAAATTAAATGCAAGGGCTTGGTTTGGAAAAGAAAGCAATAAATCTTATAAAAGTAATTTACACCAATGAAAGGATAAGCTCACAGGCAGTTTCTATGAATTATTTTTGTATTTAAGAAACCTAACAGGGAAAGAGAAATGAATAGGACTGGTTTATCAACTTGTCATAAGAACGTATCTAAGAGCCCTTCACATCCAGGATCATTTTACCCAAGAAACTGGAAAACTTGGCCCCATGACCAGGCTACTCTTGTCTTCTAAGAGGTGTCCCCACAGGGAGATTAATACCTAAGTGACAATCCCCCACATCACATTTCCTCCAGAAGACTTGTTAATCCTTTCCCACTTCAGTCCCCGAACTGAGGCCCCTCTGTTCTACTTCAAATTCACCTTGGCTTCACATGCACTGCAGTGATGCTTAATCTAGCAATCTATCCATGAATAAGAAATAAGTCACGGTCCTCTTAAGGATTTATAGACAGGAGTTAAATGTACTAGTAACTATGAGGTAGAGTACGATGTGATGAACATCAAAGGACTGATAGAAATGATCCGATGGGAGTGCACAGGAAGTTAAGGTGATTCACATCCAATAAGTGAGATGGATGTCAGAGAGATCTTCACAGAGAGAGTGATATTTGAACTGAATTTGGAAGGATGGATAAGGATCACACAAGTGGAGAGGAATGCAAAGTCTTCAAAGGAAAGCAAAAAATCATAAAGTCAGGGATTTGTAAGGAACCTTTGGGGAGGGAAATAGTCTTGTCTGGGTAGGGGAAATACAATTGTGGAAGCTAAGGCTAGCAAAGTAATTTAGAACTGGATTATTATAATCCTAAACAGCAAAAAGACTGAAGACTCAGGCATCACAAAGACTTTTTAATGGGCACTTGGGAGTGTGGGCAGAGTGGAAAAGTTCCTGAGATCTGTGTTCCCCAGAAAGTAAAAGTTCTTTTTCTTAACAGCTGGAGAGTAAGGGATTAACCTTCCAGAACAATAATCAGTGGATGAATGGCACGGTAATAGTGGACAGCACAGTGGGAAAGGACACTTTCTTTCTTGTCACCTGGACAAAACAGCCTCCCCAAATCCTTCTTTGGGATCCCAGTGGAAAGTTACAAAGTGGCTTTGTAGTGGACGCAGCTATCAAAATGGCCTCCCTCCAAATCCCAGGCACCGCCAAGGTATGGAGTCAGCTTTATTCCCTCTCGAAATTTGACAAGATAAAACAAAGCTATTACCGAATAACTGCAGCTTTTTAATGTTTGTGGTTGCCAAAAGGACAGTCAGTATTGAATCAAGAAAACAATGAAAAATTTCTATCCAGTGAAAATCACTTAGTCTGCCAGCAGGTCAAGGAAAAGGAAGTTGGTGATGTTTGGCCAGATGCTGAATGGAGAACATTCAAATTATACAGCAGTCCAGATGCAAAGTGATTGTTGGAGCTTTGAAATCATGACAACTTTCCTCTACCTCAGAAACTCATCTCTTGAAAAACCAAGGCAATGATAAATGAGGACACAGCTTTCAGCCCTCATTTTCCCCAAACAGGATTTTCTTGACAAGAGGAACCATGTAATAAGTTCAGACACACTGCAGGTTGCCTTGGCTGACAATATCTAAGGTGCCCACATCTTCTCAGACATGCTTGTGACATGCTTGTATCAGAAAGGCTTTTCCTATAGGTAACACTCAAGCCAGGTCTTTGTCACCCATGTTGCTCACTGAAAATGTCTGCATCTGTTTTTGTCAGGTTGGGACTTGGAGATACAGTCTGCAAGCAAGCTCACAAACTCTGACTCTGACTGTCACCTCCCGTGCATCAAGTGCTACTGTCCCTCCAATTACACTGAAAACCAGAATGAACCAGGACACAGGCAAATTCCCCAACCCCATGAGAGTTTATGCAAAAGTTCGTCAAGGAGCCTTACCAATTCTTAGGGCCAATGTCACAGCCCTGATTGAATCAGCAAACGGGAAAACAGTTACCTTGGAATTACTGGACAATGGAGCAGGTAACCACCCCAAAGTTGGAAAATATATCTTTTTATTTTCAAGAAACAACCAGGGAATTACAGGAGGCATGGTCTGGTAAGAACTGTTAGAAACAGAGAGCCCAGCATTGGGGGTCTGTTTGAAAGAATTCCTTGCCTCCCCATAATTCCCCTATTCTAAAATGTTGGAAAACATAAAGAAGGGCCTACTTTTAGCTTCTGCAAAGCCGAAGTGTTCAATAGACTCAGAGACTCTAGAGAGTTGTCAGACCCCCAAACTAAGGAAAGGAGATAAATTAATAGCTATTTTATGTTTATTTCTTTCTGTTTGTCTGCCTGTCTCCCTCCCTGTCCACACACACAAAGGCATACATACAAATATATACAAATACACAAATGAAGATTTATCTATAGATATATCTTCACCACACACATTTTAGATATTATTATCATCCTTACAATACAGGTGAAGATGAAGATACTTCCACATTTAGAAATCAGCAGAGATGGAATTCAGGTCATTCTCTGTGATTCCTATAACCATGCAAGTTGTACGTTAGCTTGTCCCTAGAGAAGGGAGAGATATTCTGTATTTCTTTTTTGAAGAAACATGTCTGCTTACTGTGATGAAACTATACTTATTAGAATGAATTCTGCAAATGAATTTCCCACCTAAATCTACCTTGGGGAGAAGTCATTAGTTTTATTAAGTAATTATTTCACACTTTTTACTCACACATGATTTACAGCAATTCAGTTTGGTTCAGCAGCAGTTCAATTTGGTTTAACACATACTGAGTAACTAGCTTGTGCTATGTTGAGTATAACAGAGACACATGATACAATGTATGATTTCAAAAAGAAAGAACAATTCAGGGACAGAGGTGTACATAATAAAACCATACAAACACATGTGCGCACAGGTACACATGTGAACATCAACCATGTACAGTGGTAAAAGCAGTAGGCCTCATCCTTCACATATAAATCTTAAGGTCTCTTGGAGATAATGCTAAATTTCCCTCTGCTTTGAAAAATTTTAACCCGCACATGAACTGAAAATATACAAATGCTCACCTTTAAGATATTCATTAATTCCTCTGTTTCCCTGTCAAGGGGCTGATGCTACTAAGAATGATGGTGTCTACTCAAGGTACTTTACAAATTATGATGCAAATGGAAGATATAGTGTAAAAATATGGGTCCTGGGAGGAATTACTGCAGCCAGACAGAGAGCAATTCCTCATCAGAATGGAGCCAAGTACATACCTGGCTGGATTGAGAATGGTAGGTAATCTGTAGTAGCACATCTCACTTGGGTAAAAGGCTTGGGGTCAAGAGGAAATCATTAAACCTGTGAAGCAGAATAATGCCAGATTAACTCAGGGTTTCTCAGTTTTGGCTTGATTGACAGATAATCCTTTGTTGGGCATTGTCTTGTGCATTGTATGGTGTTTAGCAGCATCCTTGGCCTCCACCCACTAGGTGTCAGTAAAATCAGGACAATCATCATTTTTCTCCAAGGGGACAAAATAGCCCCAGGTTGAAAACCACTAGATATAACACAGCTTTTGATTGCTTTGGTTCAAATTTCAGTCCTGTGCCAAATAAAGTATAAATCTTCTCTGTGCTTCACTTTCCTCTATTGTAAACAGATAGTAATGGTAACTGCCTCAGATAATGGTAATGAGGAATAAATAAGGAAATAAACCTAATGTGCTATTGCTAGCAAATAGTTAAGTGTTTGTGTTTTATTATTTTTCAAGATAAATTTTTAAAAACATTTCCTAAGAAAGCCCTTTCGTTTGACATTAGTGTTCCCATAAAATTTAAAAAAAAAAAGTATAGTTCAGGGCTTGTTGTGTACATCAGTATCACAACCATAAGCCCATATCTCCCCTCCTACCCACTGCTCATATCAGGAGCAGGGAGAAGAGTAGATAAATCTGACACTGGGCAGCACACTGGGAAAATCATATCCTTGAAACAGTCCCACACCACTATGGGTTACACATACTTGCCCCAAATAAGAGTCGGGATGGGGACCAAGACTGAGTCCAATGGCTTTTAGGACTTGCTTTCCACCCATGTCCACTGAGCTCTGGGCAGGCCTTTTCCTGACACCTATATGGAGGAAGGAGAACAGCTTCTCCAAGAAGCTTCCCTGCCTCTTTTATTAGGTGTGTGCACAGTGAAGGGGGTCCTAGGATATGTGGTATTCTTTTGGCAAAGTGATTTTATAGGGAAAATATGCTTTGAAAGATACCATTGTTTCCAAGGTTCTTTCATAGATTTCTACCTATATTATTCATGTTTTCCCTTCTTTTTGAGTTAGGGGAAGAAGACAAGAGGAGATGGATTTAGTGGCTATTTCCAGACTTATCATAGTATTTTACTCACATCAATATATTTCATCCTTCTGAGTATTCCTTTCACAGATGGGGAAACAGAGGTTAGAGAGGTTATGGCTCAAATAAGTAACAGTGATAATGCCTGTTGTGGCACTTGGAAGCAATCTTCTTCTCTCTATCCCTTAATAAGACTCAATACCAAGAACAAGTCTCTATTGGTGAATCAAATACTTATTTGAATCTGCCAAAGGATCTAAATTGTCTTTGCTCAAGACTCAGTAATGGGTATGAAGATAAATCTGTTTTTATAGGTAAAATTTTTGATGACTAAAGAAGTGGAGTTTGAGAGAAAGTAAATTCTGAGTAATAGCGTGTTAAAATGTAGGAATGTTTGCATTGAAAAGAGAGTTTGAGAACCCCTTTGACGGAGCAGATGGGTAGTTTTGAATCCCAGGGTTACTTTTATACAATAAAAAGAATGTGAAAGAAATTGGGATTGTTAAAGAATAAGGTTCCCAGGCATTCACTGAGAAAATTAAGAGCCTTTCAAAGCATAAAATTTGGAATTCCTAATATAAAACATTTCATGAAATACTGTATCAAATAAGAAAGATAAAATACAAATATGGAGAAAGTAAAAGAAAATGCCTAGAACCTAGGCAATTCTTAAAGGCCTGGATGATCCATTACCATATAAAGGGGAAAGATTATGAAGCTCATAGTATTGCCTAGGTAAAGAGATGTCCTAAAGTAGTTAGGTTTAAGACAGAGTTATTTAAACTGACCTTGTGCAAGGGTAAGATAAGGATGGACAGAAAATTGGAAAAAAAGAGACAGTTTAAGGACTAATGTTATTAAAATAAATTCTAAAAGATTACTGCAGTACATATCCAGGAAATATCTGTGAGATAAAGAAATGTGATTCTCTCTTTGCTTTGTTCTCTCTTGTGCATCCTAATTTGGAGTCTTGTGACCATACACTGAAAGTGAATATTGTGTATGAGAGGAAAGAAGGGTAAAGGAAGAGCAGGAAGAGGGTAATCCTGTAAGAAAAGAGAGGGAGTGATGTTGCTTCCCATAATTTGAGTAATTTTTTAAATACAGGTCAAATAAAATGGAATATACCACAAGCTGAAATTAGTGACAATACTTCTCAAGAGGAGCAAGTGTGTTTCAGCAGAACATCTTCAGGAGGTTCATTTGTGGCTTCCAATGTCCCAAGTGGTTTCATTCCTGACCTCTTCCCACCTTGTCAAATCACTGACCTGAAGGCAGAAATCCAAGAGGGCAGTCTCATTAACCTGACTTGGACGGCTCCTGGGGATGATTACGATCAGGGACAAGGTAAGCTGAACATGAGGTGGACCCTGAAAAGGACTTGACCAGACAAGCTGAGGTACAGAAGGAGGGGATGAAGGCAAGTGTATTGGGATGCAGAAGAGGGCAGCAGAAGATTGGGGGATTTCGAATGTCCTCTGAAATGAAAGGTAAAGATTTTTCAAAAAGTGGTTTAAATTTTTGAAAAGCTGAGTTTAGTCATTACTCAGTCTTTTAATAATGATTTTAAATCTAAAAAGAAGTGGTGCTTTTATCAATAAATAGGAGTATGTTTTAATTCATTTTCAGGAAGTTTGCCAGCTAAAAAAAGATATGCAATTGTGTAACTTCTAGCAGAGTTGCCAAGTTTTTGTTGTATTTTGAAGGATGCCCCAAAATGCCCACACCAAATTATCTAAACATAAAAGTTTCAGCCAAGAAAGGCAAACTTTGTATTGTTTTGTTTTTTCCCCTCTGAAAACTTGCCAAACTATCTCTTAAGAAACCCCATTCTCAGAAGTGATTCCTGGAGAAGGACTAGGATTAGAGCATAAATATCTATGGAGTAGAACTGTCCTTTGGAAGAAATCTCAAGTCCTACCCAACTTTGCCTCTCAAAGTGTGAGCTGTGGATTGCAGCATGGGCACCACAGGGACACTTGTTAGAAATATAGAGTCTCAAGTTCTGTCCCAGACTTAATGCAGAATCTGCATTTTAAGTTCCCTCGGTGATTTATATGCACATTGACATCTGAGAAGCATTGGTATCAAAAACCCCACTATAAATGCTAAAACAATAAGCAATAATTAAACAGCTGCTTCTCTCAGCCAAGCCTTAGGCCTAGAAAGGCTCACCAAGGTTTAAAGCCATGACCAATCCAATTTTATATTTATTACTTTGTCAAGATATACAAACAAGAATGTAAAAGGGATATTAACCCTGGTAAATATAGACCATTGGTTTTATTTATTCATGGAACTTTTGGGGATGGTGATAGAATTTCTAGATCTGAGAATTACAAGTCACATCCTCTTTCTCTTTTTCTTTTTAGCTCACAAGTATATCATTCGAATAAGTACAAGTATTCTTGACCTCAGAGACAATTTCAGTGTTTCAGTTCAAGTGAACACTACTCATCTCATTCCAAAGGAGGCCAACTCAGAGGAAGTCTTTGTGTTCAAACCGGAAAATATCACTTTTGAAAATGGCACGGATCTCTTCATTGCTATTCAGGCTGTTGATAAGGCTAATCTTAAATCCGAAATATCCAACATTGCCCGAGTATCTTTGTTTATTCCTCCTCAACCTGAAGATACTTCTACTCCTTATCCTAGTATTGCTACCAATAGTACCATTTGTGGCTTTCACATTTTAAAAATTATGTGGAAGTGGATAGGGGAATTGCAAATATCCTTAGCCTTGAATTGAGTTTTCATGAGATATATAAAATAAATCAACCATTCTTTTGATTAGAAAAAAATTCTAAAATGTACTTTAGACTTCCTATAGGGGGCAATGTAATAAAATGTTAAACACTGGGTATATATGTATAAAAACTATCCATCTGAGTTTAAAAGTTTAATCATTGACCAATCTTTTAAAAATTATTTTGAATATAAGAAGTGATGCTTGTCTCAATAAATGAAAGTATGTTTTAATTCATTTTCAAGGAATGTAATTGCAGTTAATCTAATAGAGTGGTTGAAAGTGTTTCTTTTGAAGGGTGCCCAAATACCCAAGCCAAAGTATCTAAATATAAAAGTCCTGACTTGTTGTTTAGGAGCCTTGGACTAGCATCACCAGGAATGTGATTTCTGTTTGCAAGATTTGGGCAAGGATGATGCACTTAAGGAAGGGATTGTACTGTGATAAGAAATAACAGCATGATGAAGCTTCCACAGGCACAGAAATGTATGCTGTATGTTACGAATCAGTGGTGCCTAAAGCCACAGTAGAGGAACATGAAGTGATAAAGACAGATTGAAGCCAGGTATGAAGGGAAAGTGATTGAGAAGTAAACATTTATTGTGTGCCTTGAATCAGGTACTCTATTAAGGCCTGTGTATACATTCACTATTTAATGTAACTCAGTTCATTCAGAGAATGTTCATGGGCTGACAACCACATTCCAGGTCTATGCATGGTCCTAAGGATACAAGATAAATAAAAGTTGGCCTTCTCCCCAAAAGCAATAAAGAGCTTTTGAGATTGATTTCTGAAATCAGGAGGCAGACATGATCAGAGTTGTGCTTGAAAAGGGAGCTTTGAGACCCCTTGAAGAGCTCTTCTCCTACCAAGAGCTGTGAGAGAAGCTAGAGGCCTGAAAGGCAAAGGAGGAGAAATCAATGCAAATACAGATCTAGCAGTATGGCAGTCCAAGGGCCAAGGTTTTTCACAAGAGAAAAAGAGCCTAAAGTTCTGTGTACATTGGCACAATAATTTGAAGATGTAGATGGCTGTCTTTATGATTGAAAACAAACTATCCATGCTATTGCTTCTACATAGAGGCAACATTAATTAATTAATTAACCTTCCTTATATCAAAACAGGCTTTGAGGAACCTTAGAGATACACACAATAGATACACAAAAAACTTTAAATGGAATGAAATAAATATATAATAAAAACTGAAGAAAGATTCAGTATATCTAATGCAGTGGAGGGATACTTCAGCATTACAGAATTAATTCTGCAATATAATAACATTTGGTGAAATGGAGGTGTCATCCTTCTTCTTTTTATCTCTTTTATTTCTTCTTTTTATCTCTTTTTACTTTACACTGATAATCAAACATCATGAAAGTGGAGCACTATGTCCTCAGTGGATATCATGTGTATACTAGACATTGAAATTGCGACTTGGGGCTGGAGTTGTGGCTCAGTGGTAGAGTGCTCGCCTAGCATGTGTGAGACCCTGGGTTCGATCCTCAGCACCACATAAAAGTAAATTAATAAAAAATAGGTATTGTGTCCAACCACAACAAAAAAATAAAAAAAGTATTTAAAAAAGAAATTGTGGCTTCTTACAATGTATGCTTTATGATGCCGACTCTTAGTGCACTGTTAATTGCTTGCTTATTTTTGTGTCTCTGGCTATAAACCCCTCCCAAGCAGAAAACAAACCTGCTTGTTTTTCCATTGTATCCTTGGCATCAACACAGAGCTTGGGGTAGAGTGGGGGTGCTTAAAATATTTGTCAAATGGATAATTGAACACCTGAAGCCACAACCAATATGCTTAATGTGAATGCAGATGTTTTCAAGGCAGATGTAAAGAGTGGGTAAATAGATACAAAAGATGAGTCAAGGAATGACTTTAAGTGATGCATTAAGACAGATATGAAAAATTGTGCTCTATATGTGTAATAAGAATCGCAATACATTCTGCTGTCGAGTATTTTAAAAAATCAATTAAAAAAGAGGGAAAAAAAAGACAGATATGGATTATACAGAGAACTGGGAAAAAGAGACAATTCACCTGAGAATAATCTGGGGATATCAACAACAGCAAAAGACTGAGGAAGAGAGAGAGAGAGGGAGAGAGAGAGAGAGGGAGAGAGAAAGAAGGAAGAGGAGGAGGAGGAGGAGGAGGAGGAGGAGGAGGAGGAGGAAGAGGAGGAGGAGGAGGAGAAGAGGAGAGAGAGAGATTGAATCAATAGATCTCACTTGCCCCCAAATAATTCTACATGGTTTCCAACTTTTGAAGAGATACAAAAATCTTTCCAAATAAATTAGTTTTTTAAGCATGTATGTTAGAATGATTCATTAAAACTAAGAAAGAGTAGACAAAACACCAACACAGAGCTCAAGAAGGCTCATAGAAAAATTTCACATAACTGATAAAATAGACTAGTCCTGGCAAGAACTAAATAATGAGGAGAGAAAAGTCTTCACATTGGAAATCCTAAGCAATGCATAATTATTGTAACTGAGTAAAATCTATTTAACCCAATTGCTGGAATACAATTGCCAAAGAGAAAACATGTTAAATGATCTTCCTATCTTAATTGTCACTTGCTATAAATCCTTTTCCTAAATTTCCAAAGCAATTACAAATCCATAAGGGACAGAGGATTATAAAATATGATGAGCTGTACATTGGATAGCACAATTCAAACTGCAGAGGGCACACCAAGTCCATGGAGGATTCGGGCAGGCATAGGAAGCCACTGAGCCTACGGGGAGGTTGTGGCAATGGCAAAGGTAGGATCCAGACAACCAGTCCATTTATAGAGCAAGGCCTTAGTATCTGAGGGTTAGAAAGCAAAAATGCTACCACTGCCACCATTCGCCCCGCTGACTAGGCAGGTGGAGGAAGAGTTGAGCAGGATTTCAAGGTCTTGGCCAAGAAGAGAATGGTGTGATATTATTGTCACTGTTATGTGTTATTTTATCTGATAATTATAATAGTCACAATTACTGGGTTTTTACTAAGTTCCAGGCGCTAAATGCTTCACATCCAGGTCCTCCTCTAATATTTGAGGGTTGTGGAGCAGAGAACCAGATACCATGTGTCTAAATATACAATCATTAAAATCAGGCCAACAAGTGGTTAAAGTGTGTATTTCCTATCTTCACAAGTGCACCTTCATAAAGACCTGGAAGATCAAGTTCAAATTTAAATTTCCCAGAAACTTCTCAGTGTCATATTGGAACATAACAGCTCAGGAAGATTGGCTGGAACGTATCCCCTCTTATTCATAGTTTCTCCACTTCAAAGTGAAAATCTCAAAGTGCCTCCTGCACATGAATGTGGCTCCCTTCAGTCCACACACCACACCAACAGCTGCCCTTTGGCCATCTTTCTAGCCCAGTGGTATGCACACCTTACAGATTATCTGCCCCAGGGAGAACTGACCTTAGTGCCAAAGTCAGTTCTGGTTCATGAAGACTGTGGAAGGAGGATGGTAACAGTTACCTGTCAGGGAATTTTAGTTCAGGTCTGAAAAATACATTCTAGAAATTGGAGAGCACTCCAGATGGACATAGCTCCCTGGCTATGTGAACTTGAAAGAGGACAATACCAGCAAGGTACTTTGCAGGACCCTGTGCAAAGTGAAAATGCATGACCTTTTGTTCAAAGAGCAGGAAAAAAGTGTCAAAAAGCTACCATAATATAAAACTTTTTACTTTCTTCCACAGTGCATCTCAGTTTGTCATGGTATTTTTATTTGTCATTTAATGTCTTTCAAAGTAAAGAAAAATTATAATTTTAAAGAATTCATATGAATTTCACCATTCATCTTTATGTTACGTGTTATGGTTTGGATGAGAGGTGTCCCCCAAAAGCTCAATGCAAGAAAGTTCATAGGAAAAATGATCAGATTAAGAGAGTCTTAACCCACCCAGTGAATTGATCCTTTTATGGGAATAACTGAGAAGTAACTCAGTGGCTGGAGGAGGTGGGACATTGGGGATGTGCCTTTGGGGTATATATTTTGTACTGGCAAGTAGAAACACTCTCTCTCTCTGCTCTCTGATCATCATGTGAGCTGCTTCCCTCTGCCACACTCTTCTGCCATACTCTTCTGCCATGATGTTCTGCCTCATCTAGAGCCCTGAGGAATGGAGCCAGTCATCTATGGACTAAGACCTCTGAAACCATGAGCCCTCAAATAAACTTTTCCTCCTCTATAATTGTTCTGGTCAGGTCTTTTTTTTTAAGTTTTAGGAAAATTTTTTTTATTGGTTGTTCAAAACATTACAAAGCTCATGACATATCATCTTTCATACATTTGATTCAAGTGGGTTATGAACTCCCATTTTTACCCCAAATACAAATTGCAGAATCACATCGGTTACACATTCACATTTTTACATAATGCCATATTAGTGACTGTTGTATTCTGCTACCTTTCCTAACCCCTACTATCCCCGCTCCCCTCCCCTCCCATCTTCCCTCTCTACCTCCTCTGCTGTTGTTCAATTCTCTCCCTTGTTTTCCCCCCCTTTCCCCTCACAACCTCTTATATATAATTTTGTGTAACATTGAGGGTCTCCTTCCATTTCCATACAATTTCCCTTCTCTCTCCCTTTCCCTCCCACCACTTGTCTCTGTTTAATGTTAATCTTTTCCTCATGCTCTTCCTCCCTGCTCTGTTCTTAGTTCCTCTCCTTATATCAAAGAAGATATTTGGCATTTGTTTTTTAAGGATTGGCTAGCTTCACTTAGCATAATCTGCTCTAATGCCATCCATTTCCCTGCAAATTCCATGATTTTGTCATTTTTTAGTGCTGTGTAATACTCCATTGTGTATAAATGCCACATTTTTTTTTATCCATTCATCTATTGAGGGGCATCTAGGTTGGTTCCACAGTCTAGCTATTGTGAATTGTGCTGCTATGATCATTGATGTGGCAGTATCCCTATAGTACGCTCTTTTAAGGTCCTCAGGGAATAGTCCGAGAAGGGCGATAGCTGGGTCAAATGGTGGTTCCATTCCCAGCTTTCCCAGGAATCTCCATACTGCTTTCCAAATTGGCCGCACCAATTTGCAGTCCCACCAGCAATGTACAAGAGTACCCTTTTCCCCCACATCCTCGCCAGCACTTATTGTTGTTTGACTTCATAATGGCTGCCAATCTTACTGGAGTGAGATGGTATCTTAAGGTGGTTTTGATTTGCATTTCTCTGATTGCTAGAGATGGTGAGCATTTTTTCATGTACTTGTTGATTGATTGTATGTCCTCCTCTGAGAAGTGTCTGATCAGGTCCTTGGCCCATTTGTTGATTGGGTTATTTATTATCTTATTGTTTAATTTTTTGAGTTCTTTGTATATTCTGGATATTAGGGCTCTATCTGAAGTGTGAGGGGTAAAAATTTGTTCCCAGGATGTAGGCTCCCTATTTACCTCTCTTATTGTTTCTCTTGCTGAGAAAAAACTTTTTAGTTTAAGTAAGTCCCATTTGTTTATTCTTGTTATTAGCTCTTGGGCTATGGGCGTCCTATTAAGGAATTTGGAGCCCGACCCCACAATATGTAGATCAGAGCCAACTTTTTCTTCTATCAGGCGCAGAGTCTCTGATTTGATATCAAGCTCTTTGATCCATTTTGAGTTAACTTTTGTGCACGGCGAGAGAAAGGGGTTCAGCTTCATTTTGTTGCATATGGATTTCCAGTTTTCCCAGCACCATTTATTGAAGATGCTATCCTTCCTCCATTGCATGCTTTTAGCCCCTTTATCAAATATAAGAAAGTTGTAATTTTGTGGATTGGTCTCTGTGTCCTCTATTCTGTACCATTGGTCCACCTGCCTATTTTGGTACCAGTACCATGCTGTTTTTGTTACTATTGCTTTGTAGTACAGTTTGAAATCTGGTATCGCTATACCTCCAGATTCACACTTCCTGCTTAGAACTGCTTTTGCTATTCTGGGTCTTTTTGTTTTTCCATATGAATTTCATGATTGCTTTCTCTATTTCTACAAGAAATGCCATTGGGATTTTGATTGGCATTGCATTAAACCTGTAGAGAACTTTGGGTAATATCGCCATTTTGATGATGTTAGTTATGCCTATCCATGGACAGGGTATATTTTTCCATCTTCTAAGATCTTCTTCTATTTCTCTCTTTAGGGTTCTGTAGTTTTCATTGTATAAATCTTTCACCTCTTTTGTTAGGTTGATTCCCAAGTATTTTTTTTTTTTTGAGGATATTGTGAATGGAGTGGTTTTCCTCATTTCCATTTCAGAAATTTTGTTGCTGATATACAGGAATGCCTTTGATTTATGCATGTTGATTTTATATCCTGCCACTTTGCTGAATTCATTTATTAGTTTTAGTAGTTTCTTTGTAGACTCTTTTGGATCTTCTAGGTATAGAATCATATCATCTGCAAATAGTGATAATTTAAGTTCTTTTCCTATTTTTATGCCTTTAATTTCTTTTGTCTGTCTAATTGCTCTGGCTAGTATTTCAAGAACTAAATTGAATAGAAGTGGTGAGAGAGGGCATCC